AAGTCAAAATAAACAACTGGAAAAAATATAAAGACTTATCAAACACAAAATCAACAAAAGATGAAAAAAAATATATTTTTATTCAGAATTTTTGGATAGATTCTATTTTCTGAGTTAGTTTCCTGGGTCAGAAAGAAAGATCAATTTCCTGTTGCACTTGGGTCAATTCTGACTCATACCAACCCTACAGGACAGAGTAGAACTGCCCCATAGGATTTCCAAGGCTGTCATCTTTTACTGCCACATCTTTTCTCAGACTGTCACATTTTTCTTCTGTGGAGCAGCTCGTGGATTCAAACCACCAAACTTTTGGTTAGCAGCCAAGCACTTAACCACTGCACCACCAGGGATCCTTGGGAATCACATTAATAGCCATTTATTGAGGGACTGCCCTAAATCCTCCAGATACATTATCTCATTTAATCCGTCACAAAACCATTCTGAGGTAGTACCCTCATTTTGCAGGTGATGTAACAGACTGAGATTAAATAACTTGCGCGATTTAGTTCTGTAATATCTACAGTGTGAGAATTCAGAATAACTACTGTTTATAAGCAGTGACTCAGTTGAACATCTAGTAATGTTAGGTTGAGATAAAGGGTGACTTGAATAATCCTGCAAATTTGTTGCAACTGTATTGTGTTCCTTATTCATTGAGCCCTTTCCATGCTGGAGATTAGTATCTAGTGTTGTGAGGAGTAGTGGGAGTAGTTCTCACACATCTGTCTCCCATAACCTTTTAAAGGTATGGTTATGCTGTCCTCATTTGTGAATGGTTCTATTCTAATATTAAATTTACACACTGTAGCAGAACTTAATAGTGTAAACTGATAATTACTATTTTAAAATTTCAAGTTAAGTATTTATAAATAAGGAGTCCCTGGGTGGTGCAAAGTGTTAAGCACTCAGCTAGTAACAAAAAGTTGATACTTCGAACCCACCCACAGGTACCTCAGAAGAAAGGCCTGTGATCTGCTTCCAAAAAAATCAGCCATTGAAAATACTATGGAGCACAGTTCTATTCTGAAACATATTGGGTTGCCATGAATCTGAACTGACTCAATGACAACTGTTTTTCCCCCTCAAGGAAACATAACTTAATGATAATCTGGAGTTTGTTTGTTTGACTTTTGCTTTGCAAGTATTAGCCTGGGAGTCCAGACTAATCCCAAACCTGATCCTACTTCTGATTTCCCACATGAGCAAGAATCCTATTCTTTTTTTTGTCATCTTTGTTTCTATTAAAATGGAATAAAAATACCTAAATTACAGGGATGTGCTATTTTTAAGAAACGGTAAAGCTCTCGACCATGTTGTAAGAGAGTCACGTTGTTGTTAGGAGCCGTCGAGTCGGTTCAACTCATAGCGACCCTGTGAACAGCAGAACGAAAAACACTGCCCGGTCCTGTGCCATCCTCACAATTGTTGTTATGCTTGAGCCCATTGTTGCAGCCACTGTGTCAATCCATCTCATTGAGGGTCTTCCTCATTTTCACTGACCTTTTACATTACTAAGCATGATGTCCTTCTCCAGGGACTGATCTCTCCTAACATGTCCAAAGTATGTAAGACGTAGTCTCGCCATCCTTACTTCTGAGGAGCATTCTGGTTGTACTTCCTCCAAGACAGACCTGTTCATTCTTTTGGCAGTCCATGGTATATTCAATATTCTTATCCAATACCACATTCAAAGGCGTCAGTTGTTCTTCAGTCTTCCTTGTTAATTGTCCAGCTTTCGCATGCATATGAGGCGATTGAAAACACCATGGCTTGGGTCAGGTGCATCTTAGTCCTCAAGGTGACATCTTTGCTTTCAACACTGTAAAGAGGGCTTTTGCAGCAGATTTGCCCAGTGAAATGTGTCTTTTGATTTCTTGACTGATGCTTCCATGAATGTTGTTTGTGGATCCAAATAAAATGAAATCCTTGATAACTTCAGTCTTTTCTCCGTTTATCATGATGTTGCTTATTGATCCAGTTGTGAGGATTTTTGTTTTCTTTATGTTGAGGTGTAATCCATACTGAAGGCTGTGCTCTTTGATCTTCATCAGTA